AAATATAAATGTTGCTACTGCACTGCAATGCATTTTTTTTCCTCCAGCTTCATCCTGTATTTATAGTGATTTTGGCCACCTACCAAATTAATTTTGCTTCAAAAAGATCTACAATAGCAACAGATTTTCTCACCTAAATTACAGTTGTGGGCAGAGAAAATCTTCACCAAATGCAAGTTTCTCAATTTAACATTGATTGCATGCGTTTGTCTAAGTCAACAATGGCTGCACACAATCACCTTTGCGAACAATAATGGCTTTAATATGCCGACATAATATAGAAAAGGGCTAAGCTCTTATCTGATCCTAATATTTTAAAAAAAAAAAAAATCTTCAAATTCATTTTTAATCACACATTTTATAAAATTTACAATTTTTATTAACATTTTAACATAACATATCATCAATTTTTATTAAAGTCTATAAAATTTAAATTTTTCACAAAAAACAAAATAGGAACTTATATATATAATATATTGTTAGGTCCAAAGTGTGTTGGCCATTTTAGTATCCAAAATTATATTTTAATGAATTGTAATTCGAGTCAAAAAATCGGTGGTTGGAATATGTCTTGACGGAGTTAAAGATGCTAAAAGATGGAATACAGAGAAAAAATAGTTGTAAAATCTCTCATTGTCTGCCTTGGAAGCGCTCGAGCGAAAATTGCAGTGGAGTCACTACTTGTTGGCCGCGCCATTGGTACTCGAGCGGTGGAGTCACTACTTGTTGGCCGCGCCATTGGTACTCGAGCGGTGGATGGACTGCTCGCTAGTCATGAGACCACCGCTCGAGCAGTGGTGATATCCACCAACCCTAGGTCAAGAGTTTAAACAAATTTTGGAGTCTCAAACTCTCTATATTATAAATACCTTAAGTCATAGTCCGTCCCAATTGTTGGTTGATCAATTATTCATACAGGAGAACATCCTTTGAAGATCAAAAACATATTCTATAATTCTCTGAATTCAACCACAAGATTAAACTACAAAAGATTTAAAGATCAAACACAAAAATCATTACCTTTATCAATAAGCTTTTAGAGTTTTGAAATTGAGAAAAAACAACTGGAGTTCATTTGTTCTAGAACGAGTTCGTTTTTGGTGATACACACGGAGAGAAAAGAAGTCCTATGTTATTGGAAAGTGTAGGTGCACAATTAAAAAGGTTCTTCGACTATTTAAGGATTGGATGGTCAGTGTCTACTAAAATTTAGATTTGTATCAACCAACTGTAAGCTATATTTTTTAGTGGATCTTTTGGCAAGGTTTATTCAGATATTTTTGATTCATGTGAAGAGTTTTTCAGAGGATTTTACTCGTTATCAATTTTTATTTTATTTTTTTACTTTTATGCTTTTGATTTATATTGCATGATTGACAGTTAGAATTTAATTTGATATTAAATTAATCGTTTAGAAACAATAAATAGATTATTTGTTATTTTTTATTTGATTGATTATTTTAATTTTACATTATACACATATTTACTCTCCTCTAAGTGTTGTTGGGCCTGAACATCGGTTATTTTTCATATATATCGAACAATAAAAAGATTGTGCACGCATTTTGGAATAAAAAGCCTGACCCTATAGTTAAGTCCCCGGAAAAGAGAGGTTAGAGTTTTGTCCCAGTTTTGCCTCGGACACAAGGATCCATCACCGGGAAAGAAAGAAGAAGCGTTACAATGTAGGGCTTCACTTGGTCGGGATTAATTTCGTCGAGACACCCAATTTCGGAAGTACTAGGACTCAAGTCGAGTCGAGTAATTTGTAGAACCTTAACTATAAAAATACGTACATATTTTCGAATTTCATCATTAGTCTTATAAGAAGAGTGTTCTCTTTGAAAAATCATAACTAGAAGATTAATATAAGGCCATGTTTTATAGCCATTATTTTGCCTTGGACTAGAAAAAAAATTTCATTTTCCATGCAAAGTGTGCGTTTGATGGGACAAATTTAGCCAAGAAAATATTTTACCCTCCCACCGCACTCCCCCACCCCAGGCGCCTTTTTTCCTCAACATTGATGAAAATGCTTTCCCATCAATTTGGTGGAAAAGCATTTTCCAAGTTCTGGAAAAAAAATTTTTTTGTTTTTTTGGGTTTTTTTTTTTTAATTTTTGACAATATTAATAAATTTCATAATCAAGTATTAAAAAAAATTTCACTTTAACAGATAATTTCCACATAAAACAAAGTCAAACGAATACTAAATTTTGATTAAAAAGTAGTGAAAAAATAGTTTTTGAGCAAATTTTTTTTTTTTTCTATTTTTTGTCAATGTTAACAAATTTTATAAACAATAGTAAAAAAAAATTCATTTTAATGTATAATTTTTATGTAAAATAAACCCAAACGTGAACAAAAAATCTAAAATTTCAAAAATTTTCCGGGTAAAAAATTATACCAATCAAACACACTTAATTAACAATTCCCTACAAAATATTTTTTAGACAATTATTTTCCCTGAAAATCATTTTCTTTCCACCCTTACATTCAAATGCACCCTAAAATTTCATATTTCTCTCAGTTTCTTGGGCTTTTGCGAGAGGACAAACTCGTCTACTGTAACTTCCACAAAATGATACAGAACTTCTGCGACAAAATATGAAGCAAATGCAATTTCAGATGTGCATATTAAATCCAGCACTCGAATGCATTTGCAATTGTTTTGTGAATTCAAAACTTCGACAAATGAAAGTCGACTCAAGATCAAGAAAGCATTGCGAAAGGGATGAAGGCGTATGTACAAAACGTGCAGCATTTGATTTGTGCAGAGCGAAATTGCCATATATTCTGAATTTCTTCTACAATGGCGTTCCAGTTCTTCCCAAAGCTTGAGCTTCTGATTCATCAAAATAAGAAGAATTATGAGACACGATGATGATGGTAATAAGATGCTCGTAATTAAAACAAGAACATACAATTTGCATATAAACCGTAGATTTAATCAACTAAGAGCGTTGTGTTCTTGCACTAAATTAAAATGAAACAAATTTCTCTCTTTATCAAGAGATTGGATCTAGAAATTTACTTATAGTACATGTTTAGTACACAATACTCTACATGATTAGACGGTATAGTGAATATTATATTAGGCTCCTGTTTGTTTCCAATGAAAAGCAGAATTTGTACCGTTGCTTATAATGGTGAGCCACAATATTTGACCATTTTGTGTCATAGTGGGCTCCACAATTTTAAAAAACAAAGGTCAAAAAAAGTTTTTTTTCGTTGAAATAATTGGAAACAAACAGGGTCTAGATTCTTTAAATACCACCCAGTAATACCTAATCCTTCCTACCAAACGTATATGCAGTGCATGTGGCATCAATTGACCCTTGTAACACAATATATTATCTTGATACTATGCCACCTAAAAGCATCTCTCGACTCAAATCCCTTTCATTTCAATGACTGTTACTCAATTAAGCAAGTTTCTAACTTCAAAGTCATAAATTACATTGACCTCGATTTACAATTCAAAAAGTTCGATACTTCTTGAGTGA